CGAACATCCTTAAGAGGATTATTCTGAATCCTCTGTCAGACATTTCATACATCTGCTGTTCCTCTGGGTCTATTGCTTGTGCTTTATTTGTTTCCTTTGGTGGCAACATATATCTCTGTCACTTCTCAATCTTTGTCTTTATGTTGATACCTGGGCATTTGAGGATACTGCTGTCTCTTCTAGGTTTTATATGTGTTCTTCAGTTGTGTTAGACTTTTACTGGTTAATACCAGAGCTTTGTCTCTGGTCTGTGTTGGTTTTTTGTTTGTTCATTTGTTTTTCATTCTGTGGTGGACTAATTGCTACCACCAGCACTTAGGCTCTGCACTAGAACTAATGTGCTATCCTGTCGTTAATTCCCAAATTGGGGGAACTTCCTGTAAGGACCAGAACTTGAGCTAAGTTGCGGTTTTGCTGCTGATTCTCTGGGGAAAGGCTTTTCATGCAATTCAGATTTTTATTGCTGGCATTAATCCCTTCTGGGTCTTGGCTATGTGGAATTTCTGGCCCAGGACTGTGTCTTTTCTGCAGATTGTGCCCCCTGCATTTCTATTGCCCTAACCAATTTCCACCAAGACCAGGTACCCATGCTGCACCCAATGGGCCAGCCTTTCTCCTGCACTCCAACTGCTTCCTGTGGGCAGGCCATGTATATGTCCCTCACAACAATTCACTGGCTTCTGGGTGGCTTCTTTCTCCAGTCAGCTGCAGCCACTCACTCCTATGCAGGCCCAAGGGAATCCTGCCAGTGGTCTTTATGGCCTATGGTATGGTGTGTTCCAAAGCCATCCTCTCCCCTGCAGACTCCAAGCAGGTTCATGCAAATGGTGCCACTGTGGCTTTTTCCAGCCTCAATTCGTGTGTGGTAGCCACTCCCTGCCCCGTACCAGGCTGGCTTAAAACAACTGGTGCCACCCCTACACCCTCTCACTGTGTCCTCTTATGCTTTCACAAACTCTTCTTCCCCCAGCTCCAGCAGTCCCAGATTGGCAGTCTTTGCTTTTTTTTTTTTTTTTTTTTTTTTTTTCTTTTTTCAAAACCGG